GCCTGGCAGATATGCGGTCTAGGCAAGGCCAAAGAAATACGCTCACTTGACGGGCAAAGGTCCAAGAAGAGGTCAGCAGTGCTGGGCCCAGCCGCGGCGGGACCATCTGCCTTCACGGTCCGAGTCCCAACTCTGGTGATTGCCGTAGGAGCTCCACGATCCCCAGTCTCTCCAGCTCCAATCCCCCCCCGCATCTGTAGGCGGGTAGGGGGGCTCCGTTGGCCGCATTGGCGAAGACGCCTGGCTAGGTGTCGGAGCCCCGGCCGATGCAGGTCGAGGAGCTCGAGATGGAGGTAGGCTGCGATGCTGTGTACGCTGGCGCTTTGTCGCCGCTTGGGCTAGCTCCGGGTGCTGCTGGAGATAGGTCGGGGAGTCGCCGCAGTTGTGCTTGACATGAACATGTTTGCCATCCTGCGCCACAACCAGCCTTGCCGGCAGCTCCATCTTGCGGGCAGTGTAGTCGTAGACGGCATTGATGGAGGTGGCGATGAGCATGAAGCGGCTGTGGTCCTGGACAATCTCGCTGAGCGGTGGGTGGTCCCCATCTTACCAAATAGGGCGGAGAGCGCCCCTTGAAGTTTAGAACCACGATCTAGGACCGTGTAGGTCTCATCCTTGCCTGTAGCGACTGCGACAAAACCGTTGTCCCCTGCCACCAGCTTCGCGGTTTCCACGACGTGCCAAGTGACCCCCTTCTCAGTCCTTGCCAACTTTATGCTCTCGAATAAAGGCGGGGGCTCTAGGAGGACCTTCATTCTTTTGGACCAAAGCGGTATCAGCTCGTCGTATTCCAGGCCGCCCAGCAGCATCTGCTGCGTCAAGACGTGCATTCTGCAAAGGACACGTAGCCACTCCTGGAGCTCATAGGACTCAGCGCAGCGACCAGGCCTGCCTCCTCCTTCAGAGAAGGGGGTGGGGTTGGCGGAGAGGGCTCATCCTGAACAGGGGGCTGATCCGGCTTTGGTGGTTGGTAATTGCGAGGGTCAGAGTCCGAAAAGCCCGGTCACCGAGTGCCGGTACGTCTGCCGCGGGTAGCGTTGGAGGTGCTTCAGGAAGCCGTGGCTTGGACATAGGGGGGCCTGCGAGCCCGCCGGGCTGGGACCTCATCCCCAAAAAGCTCTGCCTATCTGAGGACCAGCCTGGCTACCTCAGTTGCAGACACTGCCTCAACAAGAAGTCTCGCAGGAATGTAACCTTCCCTACCAGTGTAGGGGTGGTTAATCACTTTCGTCGGGGCTCGTATCATACCCCCAACTCTCTCTTCGGCCGTGTGCCGGCCCAGCCGTCGGCCTCTGGCCACCAGATCGCCGCGAGCTGCGCCCAGCAAAGCGCCTGCCCTCCAAACCCCTCCAACCAAGCGACCAAGCCCGGCATCAGGCATAGTGGAGGGCGTGGGTCCCAAGCATCGCCTCCCAGGCTCAGTTTCGGTGGTGAGCTGGGAAGGCCCGGCAGGGACGCGGTGGAGTTGCCGTGTGCAAGGGGCGGGGGAGGCTTGAAGACCACCTCTGCAGCATTTGGAGTCTCCAACACAGACGTGAGATGCATGCATCGCCCTGGAAGTGGACTGGTGGGGGAGGTCGCCTGACTCCTGGCCCAGGCAGCGTCCGAAGCGGCCTCCGGCATGGCTCGAAGTATTTGGGCCTCATTCCTCGCCTTGGCCGCGAGATCTCCAGCAAAGCCGCGCTTCCAGTTCCAGCATCGAGTGAACATGGCGATCTTGTTGAGGCGCGTGACCATGTAGTGGCCATCCGTGGGGATTTCGGAGTGAGCCTGGAGGTCTTTGCTGTGGCGTTCCCGTAGTAGATAGATCGGACCAAATCTGCTGGAAATGTTCCATCCATGCTGCGGGGGATGTCCCAGTTTCTCTCGGAGAACGCGATAGAGGTACTTGCAAAAGATGAGGTAGTCGCTAGCTGCAGCCCCTTCGAAAATGGGCGGGCTGTAGAACTGAACGATGGCCTCCACAACCAGCGGATGGCGAGGCCGGCAGTAAATAATGCCGTGAAAGATGTGATCGCCTCGGTTACCGATGGCCATGACCATGTAGTCCTTTGGTAGCTGCCCGGGCGGGGATGGGCAGTGCCCCAGCGCTGAGTGCGCGTAAGACTGGGCAGTGCCCCACTCCTCAGCTAAGCAGGACCGAAGCTCATCAAACTGCATCCTCAACGAGCACTTGATGTCAAGATAGAGGCCCCCGTGCTCGTACAGATACACATACCTGAAAAGGTCGGCACGATGGGCTGGACTCTGCAAGACATTGGACAAGTCCTTACTATACTTGCCGGCGTGGTCCAGGAGGGTCTGCCGGATGTCCTCGTCGTCACAAAAGGTTCGGGTCATCTCCGGCATGTGCCTGCGACACATCTGTGACGGCTCA